TGCTAAAATGTAATATGGTTCATTCCTTCTTCAACATGAGATGTGGTTTCTTTATAGGAGTACAAGAAGCATATTTACCGGGAAGCAGCCAGCAGAGGGCAGCAGACCTCCAGCTGTAGGTCCGCTTCCTCACTATACCCCCATCTGCTGGTAGTAAAGGCGGGTAGGGCCTGAGCCTGTATGGCAAGCCATTTGCACACAAATTCGGTTTCGTCTGACCATCCACATTACGTTCCAGATATCTTAAAGTACATTTTGACTAGACAAAACCACATTTTGACTATCCGGAATGGTAATTTAAGATATCTGTATTTACATTCTGATTAGGAAGAATAATAATTCAAGATATCTTAAATTACATTTTGACTAGTAAAAATTCCTTTCAAGATATTTCAAATTACGACAACGGATTAGTCATTTAAAGCGTCACACATTGGTAATTCATATGTAGGGGAGCTGAAAATAACAGTAAATGGAGCTGATTTAACTTTTCCTCCTGTGGATTAAACTGACTATAAGGATTTTTTTAAGGAATGATCCTCCTGGAAGCCCATTAAAAAGATCATTACACATTTTGACTAGTCAGAATGTCAATTTAAGATATCTTTAATGGAAAAGCTGAATAATTCAAGATATCTTTCATTCATTTAGAGATTTCCTAAAAGGAATTTCGAATAGTCGAAATTACAATTCAAGATATCTTTAAATTTGTTTTGTCTAGTCATTATTTGCTTTTAAGATGGATGGAAGGATGGATGGATGGATGGATGGATGGATGGATGGATAATTTATTTTTCACTAGTCAAAACTGCACATGTCCTATCCTAAAATACATTTAAGATATCATGAATTATGGTGGCATTTGAGATATCTTTAATTCGAATTATGACTAGTCAAAACTAAAATTGAGATATCTTGAAATTACTTTATGACTAGTCCTAATTCAATCGTAGATATCTGAAAAGTTTTTTTTCAGATAGTCAGTAATTCATTCTAGATATTTTAAACTGACGTCT